TACCTTATATGGTCCATGGATAGGAATTGATCACATTTATGTGGTAACGATTTCAGAATAGAAAAAACCCTATCAATATATGGTATGGCAATAGGAACACATTTCATCTGAATGTTTCAGTGTGATTTTCAATGCTGTTATTTTTGCAGTCATTTTCTTCATTGATTTTCGATTACTGGACTACATTTCCAAGCGCGCTTCTGATTCTAAACGGGAGACCAACGTGTGGTGACGCACCTGGAGCATTCCAGCTGCGTAGAGCGTAGGGAAAATTTTGTGTATCGGGCTTCGCGCGGCACCAGTCCGTTTTTTACCGAAGATGTCGCCTGCTAGCTTTCACAATTGGTGGAGAACGGAATGGCGTCACGCCAAACACAGCCCCGCTGAAACGCCCCAGTATCCTCAGTGAACAAGACTGTAAGAGAATTCTGTTTCTTTCTGATCAATTCTGATTTTTATTTTCTGTCCATCTATGGAAAAGAGCATTTTGTATTACATATATGTTGGAGCTCTTATTGGCACTGGTTATCATTTTTCAATTACTCCGAAAATTAGCTAAAACTCTTTTCTTTTCGAACAGCTCCTTGATCTCTTTCGGCGTTGATCAGTCCCGTTCTAGGGTGCGCCATGTATTATACTCTTTTCTTTTTATTTTCTTATTGAACACCTAACGCTCTATAGCTACTAGTTCAGTCAAGCAATTGCAAGCAGTCTCTTTGTGAGTGATTATTTAACTAAAAATCATCGATCGTTTAGCCTAGAAAATGCGTAAGCATAAGCATCAGCTTTCCATTTCGAAGTGAAACATGGCTAGTCCGTAGACTAACCAGTGAAGTCCGCCAACTTACCATAGAACTTTGAGTGGAGACCTGGGTAGATCGATGAAGTCTATATAGCTGTTTACAAATATAGACAGCAAAACTGCAACCTGCATTTCACAAGCAACTTATGAGCAGGTAAAGTTTGTAATGGGTGCAGTAGGGTGGAGGCTTGGTGGTGAGATGTGAAGTCAAATGCGAGGACATAGCGTCGAATCGAGTTCGGTGATGGTTGCAGTGGTCAGGCTTCGACGTTCGACGACTCGATTTCCACCACCAAGCCTCCACCCTACTGCACCATTACAAACTTTACCTGCTCATAAGTTGCTTGTGAAATGCAGGTTGCAGTTTTGCTATCTATATTTGTAAATGACCTTGACTCTATCACTTTACCCAGGTTCAGTCAGGCGTTAGGCTCATCCAAGAGATAACAAGCATCGTCTCTAATGTTTCTTTAATGTAGGGCCTGACGCCAGTCTACTAAATAGGAAGCGCCTGCGCATCGCATTTGTTGTTCCCACGCCCTCTCTGGATATCCTAGCCCTCCCTCTAAGGATGCAGGATGTACTAGTTTCACATCTCAAAAAGGCGAGAAGATAGCGCCGTCCGCCCCCCCCCCCCACCCCCCCCCCCCCGTGCGCTAGTGAAAGGTTGCGTCGCTCTGCCACAGGGCAACCATTGACACGCAGTGCTTGTTGCAGATGGTGGCGATTGTTCCATTGTCTTCTCTCCAAGTCCAGACGTCAGAGTGAGGTAATGAAGGGAAAACACTTGAAATCAACAAGTCAGAAATTCGTGCAAACTGCTCGCTTCTCTTCGCGGCTTGGAGCACGTACAACCTCAGGTCGGCTTTGGGTCCTATATAGAGTAAATGCCATGATTTTTTTTAATGATTTTCCTACACTACTGGATTAATTGCTGGCTCGCTGTCACTGTCTGAACCCCATAGGCATGCTTCAATTTGAACGCCCGGGCGCTGCTTATAAGGGCCAAATTTTTGTAGTCGCATTGTCAAATCTGTGCACACTCCAAAGGATCGACTGATCAAGGCTAAGGAACTGCTGTTCATGCCATATGGTTACCTTACAGTCAATGCAAAACTGATTGGAGGCTACCTCATAAATCACTCTTTACCTCAAAAATTGTTCGCCTTTGAGTATCATACTGGCTCTGCTTGTTGGTCATGAACTCTTGTGCCTGAACTACACTTCAAGCTTAGCTCTTCGGTCCTTCTTCTCCAGCTTTTTCTCTGCTTGACTACGCTCGTATGTGACGCCGACTTTCTGCCCCTCATACTCCTTTGAAGAAAGAACGCCGCATTACTTCCGTGACATCTTTGTCTGTGCTATGGGCGCAGGAGAACGAGTTGCAGCTGTCTGTTCAATTTGTATAATTTTGTTTGAGAGCGCGGCCTGAAGCGAAATATAAGTGAAATCGCTGAAGCTGTGCTGGACTCGTGGCCTGCGCTACTCTCTCGCAGTGAGAGGTACAGCAGAACAATAAGTAGAGGGCGCACGTACCTAGCGTGTTTTAGTTATGGTAGGCGTGGTAGCTGCCGCGCCGTGCCGGAGATCAAGTATCGCACTTGGTACCACTTCCGTCAGCCACGATTCTCGTGTCACTTTTGAGAAGAGAAGAGGAGGGCTGTCGCAGTCGGGGACCCATTACTTCGCCAGGAGACTAGGAATGGGGAAGGACTAGGAACTCACTAAGGTGTGGGTACGACTTGTATTTAGACCGGGACGCGCTTAATGCTTCTAAAAAAGTCAATCACGTCGAACGCTTGGAGCGAAATATCGAATGAGAAATTCCACAGAAAATATGGAACACCATGAAAGGCAGCACACCTCCAACAAAAGATCGTTTGGTGCTCGTGCTATTCACGTTATTCTAAATTTACTATAATTTCTGAAGAATGCATGATCGTGGCATCAGAGAGACTTTCCATACGGCCAGCTTATCAAATATTGATCGGTCACGTTATCGTGCTTCGGTTTGGCTTCGTCGGGCGCTCTGAATCATTTACCCCACAATAGTACCAACACTGTCTGAAGCGCCTCTCAAATATGAAGCTATTGCGGCCAAGGGGCATCAAAATTGCTTACCTCTTCAGGAAGTATCTGCTGATCCCCGTCATGCTTAGTACTAATATTTATCCACGGTATTATTATCGAACACTATTGATTACCTTCTTGATGGCTGTGTACTTGGTCCTTGCAGTTCAATTCAGTACGATGTTGTATGCACAGCCCCAGTGATATTGTCCTCCTAGTGTAGATTTCAGTTTTCTCGTCCTCGCTATTCGAAGAAGCGTAGTTTTACTAGCTTTTCCCCAGGCCCCAGTACTGTGATCCGAGTGTTCTACTTCTTTCTTGCCAGACATTCCTCTCTAATCCCCCAGATTCCTCTCTATCGAGCCAAAAACTGTGGCAACTTACCTTTGAATGTAAGTATCGCAGGTTTCGGCACGTTGAAGAATCCGCTCTCTGGCATGCGCCATGTGCTCTACTTCCCTACTGAGTCGTGGTGGCATTTTGAATGCGGCAATGACTTGCGGGTGCAATCGATGGTCAAGTCTGTTTTTACCCTTCGAAACGAGCCTGGTAAGCAAGTCACAATCATCCGAAGCCCGTAGGGGTGAAATAATGCTTCTGCATGACACGAGGAATGATTCCGTTTTCAATTATATTCGACTAGCACACGTGACCCCCTTTGTTCAGCAACTGCTGCATTTCACCAATCTCGTTCATATAAAATTACTCATGCTAGTCTGATTCTCAGGGCATTTACAAATGAACTAATTTAGAGTTTCAAGGCATCAGAATTCTCAAGGCCTTTGTTGCCCTGAGCAGAACCCCATGAATAGCATTTTTTCGTGTTCTAAATATGGCAAATCAGTGAAATTGATTTCATGTACCTTCTAAGGAGAGTCGAATAGATAAGCGTGATCCAGGGCTCGGAAACACACACAGGTGTAGATTTTCTCCAGAATTACAATGGTATTTATTTCTCTACCCTTCGTGTTTTTTTTACTTTTAGTCCTATTTTTTCCGTAAGATCCACCTCCGTATTTTCTTACAAAAATTGAAGGGCTGTTATGTATAAGGTCTTAGGGTGACTAATGTTATGATATTTTTTCCTCAATTTTTCCAGTGTTTCTCTGACGGCAACCTGATAGCTTCTGTGAATAGGTATCGTGGGGTCTTTAGAGTTAACATCGTCGACTTCCTTGGAACTTTTTCCTTTTTCCGTGTAACTCGACTTTAGAAATTTCCATGTACTGTCCTATTCTTCAGCTAATTTTCAGCTCGTTCTACATATCCCGATTTCTTTTAACTTGAAGAATAAGATTACGAATAGGGACCAGATATTTGATTAACAGCTCCTTGATCTCTTTTGGCGTTGATCAGTCCCGCTCTAGGGTGCGCCATGTATTAACTTCCGTTAGTATCGTGACAGCTCATTGAGTGCAGTTCAGAATATTGACAAGATACAGGGTGAAAAGCTCCTTGATCTCTTTCGACATTGCTCTTATTTTATTAACATTTTAAAAATACGTTGTGCTCTATGCTGTCTCAAAGAGAACTCTTGACTCTCTCACTGTGCACTTCTCTCTTTGCTCTTCTTTCCTCATAATTCAACTTATCGAACTTGTTGACTGAGTCGTTCAATAGTCGGATAGAATTGGAGCGAATCAACAAACAATTAATTTTGGGAAGAAGCCCGTAATGTACAGGTACAGGTTGTGTATCATCAGGTCAAAAGGGTGTGGATGCTACCCCATTCTATAATACGAAATGCGCTCAACCTTTGAAAACCTAGTTGTATTCACAAGAATGCGTTGAAAATCTGTAAAAAGCCTTATTCTGTAATCATGTCTAATGTTTGTGTTAAGTTATCTTCTAGAAATAAAACTCACCGATCACAAAATATTGGAGCACTCGCCTTTGTTTGGTTTGAGCGAAACTTGATCCTCTGAACGCATTTGTTACGAGGCTTCAGAAACACTGAACGAATAACACGGCTGAATAAGGTCCATATACTCTATACCGTTCGTTATCCCTGATGTCCCCCATAATATTTCAAGGGACCTACCGCAATCTTCTTTGAATCCTGAGGTCGCATACTACAGCATGACTCAAGTCCTTTCCCTGGAGAAAGATTATTTTGCTTTCAGGGCCAATGCAAATACGACTCACGCACATCGGTCTCATCGTCACACTCGCCACCCTTGGTGAGTATCATATTCAAATAATCCTTTCAGGAAATCCATTGCCGTCAGGGCCCGTTGCCCTTGGGGGAAAATATTGTAAAACACGACCACCCCTCCCCCCACCAAATTTTCTCCTCGCGCGTGATCTCACATCCCCGACTCCCCGCCTACCAACAATATTCTTAAATTCTCGCGACCTTGTATCATCTTTCCATAATTTTTCTGAAATTCTTCGTTCCCCAGAAAACTACCATCGAGCGAGCGGAGCGGCGTACAGCGCACATGAAAAGGGAAAAGCCGAGAAAAGCCAACAATCGAAAATTTTCTTCTGGCAACGACACCCCCCCCCACCCCCTCCATCGACCAGGTACGAGCCCACTCATTGGCGATTCCCAACGTACGACGTGCCCTGCTTGCCATGTAACCCTGGTGGCACCATAACACGGCGACGTCTGACTCATACTATTATATAATGGATTAACCACCTGCATAGTTTTACTATTACTGCTACACTATAGCGCTCCCAAGTACGGATTACACACTAACCAATCATGCGATCAATAATTGATTTTCAGTGTACTACACAGATGCACAGGCGCTGAACGACCCAATCACACAATATATTGAAGGCCGTCTGGGAAATAGGAGGATATTCTGGTGTCCTAGTGGTTATGGTGAGTCAATTACTATTCTTTGTTTTAATTTTTGTAGGTGGGGCTTACAATTTCATATTCGATTCTGGATGTTTTGCCGCAGTGACAATGTTGGCTGGCAATAGGCCAATAATTAACGGATTAGTATCCATGGACGCGAATTTAGAGCCTATAGAGGAAGGCTCGAAGGCTGGCGACCGGACTGGTAGAAAGTCGGGATATTCCGGAAAAGCTAGCAGAATACCGTAATCGGATTTCTAGATGTCGTTCTTGATCGTTGCCACTGAAACCACGCTGAAAACAATTTCTTATTAGAAACCGTATTGGAATTTTTCGGAATTTCGTGGAAGATTGCTGTAAATAAGTTTAGCTCGCAATGTATCCCCCATCCCAGCATTTTCTCTTCGAAAAAGACTTGGTGTAGTAGTTGAACGATCCCACAGCACAGTGTGCAGCTTGCCAGGCTGTTAAGTAACGGTAGGGCGAGCAAGCCTGTTCCACATGATGAGCTTCTGATGCCTTCGATAAAAATTAATCCGCTCTTATCTGTAGGAGCTGAGGATGAGCGAATGAGTGAGTGAGTGATTTGATTGAATTTCCCAACTTCTTTTTGAACTTTGAAGACTGACTTCTACCGCGTTTAACTGGATAAAAGGAGTTAGGGAACTGTCGGAACAGGGGTCGCATAGTACCAGCGATATTCATGCGATTCAGCGGGCTATGACCAGTAATTATTCTATACTTTGTCGTCATACTATTCGTGAAATACCTCGAAGAACCACAGCTCCCACAGATGACTGAATGTACCAAGGTTTTGAAACGATTAAAATGTTGGCCACATCATTGCTGTAGAAATCACCACAAGGCGGCGGTCGTATTTTATCACTAAGCAGAGAGTGATTTTATCACTAAGCAGAGACTGGCCTAGAAGGGGGTGTGGTCATCAGCTCTGAAAGTCATGATTCTATAAAAATCACCTGAAGCTCTGGACTCTTTTCAATAGAAACTCTAGCGAACACATTTTTCTGGGCATATGTAGGCATCGTGACGTAGCAAGTCAACATTCCGCTTGAACTTGAGTTTGGAGTGAAAAGCAGCGACGTAATTGGAGAGTGAGAATCAATCACAAACTAACTTATTCCTTCTTAGATGATGGTCTTCTGGAACAATGCTTGATTTTTTAAACATACTGGAAATGTTACGGTGGCAGTAGTACATTTCTGGTGCATCCCAAAATTTTCCACAGCATTTCCACAACGGGAAATATCTTTGGAAGGCGCATGAAAAATACGGAAAAGGCGATTATTGGAAGTAGAATCCTCCGATTCCACACAGCTTTTGTTTTCGTATCGGTCGGTCTTCCTCCATTCTCGGAGCGCTGAGATCACCGACAGCGGATTTGATTACAGTACTTTCACATTCCAGATGATGGAGCACTGTTTTTGTAGATGCGTCCTCTCTATTTTCTGCACAACCTGATAGACAATCATTCCAGGATATTTGGCATACTGTCCACAGCCGACCGACTGGGACAATTATAATTGGTGCTGTACCTGGCCGTATATGGGCTCATGGAAGCCGTCATGTTGTCCATTTGCTATTCCAACCGGAGCAGTCGTGGCTATCATAATAGCTGCAATAGTTTTATTGGCAGGTAAGGGAAATTTTAAGTCGATGTGTATTGGCTCTTCACTACGCTTTTTCAAATTCTATTCACACAAAGGGTTATGGCGATTGTACTGTTACTAAATCTTTATTCATTTAACTGGTCATTGCTTGCACTATTGCCATAGCATGAGGCAGGGCGTTTAACAAGAGCAGATGGATCAGATGAATAGGTGGAAGGTAGTGACTAGAAGTCAAAGTCATGGTTAGTAGCTAATAGTAAGGACTCGAAATAAGAAAATCGTACCCTCAACAGCGACAACCTTTGAGCGTGCCTGTGAGAATTTGGCCGATCACTACAGCTACTCCCATTGAGGGACATATATCTCTCAACCCGACGATTGCGGGGGCGCGGCTGCGTACCTAATTCGGACATGGAGTATAATGCGGTTTTCGCGAGTTAAATATTTTTAAGATGACTGCCTACTATCTTGTGCTGCACAGAAATAACCACAGTTGTACCAATATCCAACCGAAGTGCAGACGGCGCCACGTTCGAATAGAATGCGTGGCCACGCCCTTCCCATCGCCCGGTTATAAAGTGTATACGGTCTTGGTATTTTGGCGGTAGAGGGGAATGTAATCAAACTTGGTTGCGAACGCTGTAGCGACAGTTACCGTTCGAGGCAATGAATTAGGCAGCGTAAACAAAAAGAGCAGTGGATGGTACAAGAGAACATCTACACACCTCTTGCCTCTCTCAGCTCTGACTGGCATCTGTATTACGCTGCTGCACTTACAAGTAAGCCCGTAGCCACTCCCTTCTCGCCAAGATAGGAGTTAAAAAATAAACTTCAGAAACATGTTCTGTCGATCATTCTGAGAACAACAGATCGCGCAAGATTAACAATTAATCGGTTCCAACTCAAGTTCAAAATAAAGCATCCAAACTAATAAATACCCATTTTCAGTTTTGATCGCCTTGTCATGTTGGTGC